TGGAGAGGGAAATGGTGGCCTCCTGTAGTTCGTGAATGAGGGCTTCCTTTTCGGAGCAAAGAGAGGCGACCTGCCCATCAAAGTTTGCGCGTTCGCTGGTGAGTTTGTTGTTTAGTGAGGAGAGCTCTTTGGTGTGTTCGTGAGACAGACTGGCTATATGACCCTTCAATTGTTCCACCTAGGCAAAAATAGATAAGAAAGGCGTATTGTCAGGCAGATTGAAAAGCATAAAGCTACGGTCTCAAATACGCGTTCGTAGTGTCCTTAAAGGGTACCTGGAAGTGCAATTCAGAGAGTTCAGTCTGGTGTTGGGCCTTAGCCTGTTGCATTTGGCCGGTCAAGTTGGACTCCCGAGCCTGCAGCTGCTGTTTGCATCGCTGGATCTCTTCCGTGAGCTGACGACGTTGTTCTGACCACCGAGTAGCTTTGCCGTCCCCCTCTTCCTTGACAGAAGCCAAATCGCTCTCCAAGTTTTCCACTCGCACCATAGCCGCAGCCAACTAGGAGGAAAATCTATTACTATATACATACTCTACTTTGAAGTTGTGAGTAGCATAATTAACATACATCACTGACTGTGTGGCGAGCTAGGCGCAAGCAACGGCACAGAGAAAGAAGTCGAAATGGGAGGGGGGCTTTAGTCGGAAGACTCAAAGTAAAGCGCGCGCGCGTAGAAAGCTACTAAGGTAAGAATGCAGCTAAGCGACTGCACAAAATGGCACTTGCCTCGCGCTCTTTAGATTGCAGCATACTGTGGACAGACTCCATGTCGTTTTCCAGGCCTGAAAGTACTTCCTGAAACGAGATGGAATAGAACGAAGGGGAAAATCAGGGAGACGCTAACCGGAACTGACCACCGCGGGTGAACATTCGGAGAGGTTTCAACAAGAGTGCTTCTGGAGGGACGTTAGGGTGAGTTCTTAAAAATGTGACGGGCATCGCCAGAGATTTTTGAGGCAGTAACAAAAATCAAGATTCCGATTCTTCGATCTCGGCTCCAATGTTTTTTGCGTTAATTACAGTCACCGAAGCATTCTGGTTTGATTCATGCTCAACGTCGTAAAACAAGAAAGTGGCTTAAATTTCACCTTCATCGTCCGCCAGAGCTGTATTCTCTAAACAACTCTGTTCAACTACGTCATGGAATGGGTTCTTCTACATTCGGCAGTGGAACTCTTTGCCAGTGTGTGTTGTGCATTCCTCCGTTGTGAGCACGTTCAAGAGACATCTGTCACTCGTTAAAGGTCAACGCAAACTTTCAAACCCCCACTCAACAAATAACGTGCACGACTACAAACATACCACTCGTTTG